ATATAATAGATATATAAGATAAATAAAATAAAATAAATAAAGAAATATATTGTATAAAAGAAATATATGCTATAGATGACATAGATGACATAGATGACATATATGATTTCTTAGAAATCGACATCATCCTTTAGATCATCATCATCTATATCTTCTTTCATGTAATAATATTTAGCAACTTCTAAAGCCTCTAAATGGATTTCTACTTTTTCAGTTAATTGCCCTTTCTCTTCTTGCAAATTGTTTATCTGAGTTTCATAAAAAAGTGCTATTTCTCTATTTTGATAAGGTAAAAGAGAAAGCACTTTTTCTTTGATATTTTCTTTTTTCTTAACACAACGGCAAATAACTTTATTAGTGGAATACTCAATATCAGATTGAATTGTTAATCTACCACAGTTACTACATTTTGGTAGTTTCTTATTCTCAAATTTTTCTTTACAATTTTCACAAATAAAGTTATTTGCTAATATTTTGCTAGTAATTTGATTATGAGTTTTTATTTGATAAGACACTTTTCTAAGACCAAAACAAAAATCATACAAAATCATTACATCATTCTTCTAAGTCTAAAAGTGTGTAAATAAGATCTTTTATTTATTAATAACTACTATTTTTTACCTCGATTTTAGCAATAAGTTTTTGTTCTAATTCTTGCTTTTTAAGTTTAACTTTTTTCATTAAACGTTAGAATTTACTTTTTATTTTTCTCCTAAAAATATTTAACTTGCTTGAAAACTTAAATAAAGATTTATTTAGATAAGTTTTTAAATTGTTTTGTTTTTTTTCTGCTAGTTTTTCATTAAGATTTTCTAAAGCTCATTTATCTTCCTTTAATTGCTCTACCAAATTCATATTTTTTACCTTTTTTTTAGCAAGCTTTCCAATAAAATCAAGCAATATGATTTTATTACTATTAACTTCCTCTTTTAAGTATTTTACTTCCTTTTCATAATCAATTCTAGCTAATTCACATGGATATTGCATATCCTCAATGTGAGTTTGACCTTTACTTTAAATCTCTTTGAGTTCTCTTTCCAATCATTTGTTAGACTCCTCTAGTTCTTTTTGCTTTGCTTCTAATTCTACAACCCTTGGTTTTAATTCAGAAACCTTTTTTTCAAGTTTTTTATTTTGATCATAAATAAAATCAAAAGAACTTAAAATATGTCATGTTCACTTCATAAAACCTTTAACAATATTTTCAAGGGTGAATTCATTACCAAAAGTAGTTTTTTCAACTCCATTCTCTTTTTGAACCTTTACTCAATCATCTCAAGTCCAAAAATATTGTTTTAAGGTTATTAAAGTACCAGCAATTTCTGGACTTTCATTTTCTATAATATTATGAACAGCATTATAAATTTTTATTTTGAAGTTCTCTTCATTATCAACTAGTTGCTTTTTTAATACTTCATTTTCTTCTAATAGGTTTTTATTTCTCTGCTCAAGTTCATTTATGATATTTACCATTACTTTTTTATTTTATTTATTTTTTTAATATACTCATATAGCTATACGAAGTATATAATTATTTTAATATTTCTTTTTATTTAAGCTTTAAAAATTAAAAGTAGGAAAAGATAGCGAGATTTAGTGAAATATTAGACAGATAACAGTGAGGAAATTTAAAATGATGGAGAGATTTTAGTCTAAAATTTTATTAGTTATCAATATAGGTTGGTCTTGGACAAGTAATATCCTTGAATTCGTCTCTAACAAATAGGCGAATATTATGATAAAGATATTTTTGTCTTTTATAATCCAAAGGAGAAGGAATTAGTACTAGGATAGAAAACAATTTAATTTCTCTAGTAATTTCAAAAATACTTGCTTTTCTAGTTTTCAATAAATTAAATTCAGTAAACACACTATTAGCAATCAGCTGAGCTTTGACAATTTCAGGATTAGTTACTTCAAAAACAAAATGCTGATACTTATGTAAACCATTCAATTTCTTAAAGAAAATTTCTAACACAGAATTAAGATCCAAATATTGAAAGCCTTTCCCATTGTCATAACGTTAAATCTTGTTTAATCCAGCTGTACTTGATTTTTTCATAACCTTAACAATATGATCTATGCAATATATTGTCATTTTATGGTATAGTTTCTTAATCAATCTAAAACTACTATCACATTTGAATTTAGTATGTCCCAGTATCATAAAATTTAATTCAATACTTTCATAATAATCGCAAATTACTAAATATAAGTAAAATCAAATAGTGGCATTATTTTTATTCTACCCATTCACGTTATCACAAGTAATTTTTAGGTATTTTTCACCTTTATTCAATCATTTAATTCTATCAAATATCAGACTTAATGTACCATTAGGATCTTTGCCTATTATTTCATCTTCATCGAAAACATAATTAATTTGTTCGCATGCTGCTTCATCTTGAATACCAAATAAATATACTTTATGCAGACTAAGATAGTAAATTTTACTTACCTGTTGATTAGAATGGGATACATAAATATTTTGTGCTTAATCGTAACTATAATGAGTAGTCACATTAATGCTACAATAATCAGCTTTACCTCCTATTACAACGTAATTATCATCTACCAATTTTCTCTATTGTTCTACTAATTTCATATTTTTGTTGTAATAATTTCTTTCTAATTTAGCTTTAACTAAATGTTCTTTGAATTTTTCAGTAAATCTTTCGCTTCTTCTTCCTTATGAATATTATACTGTAAACCATTCTGAAAATATTAGCATGTGTCACATAAATTTATTCTTGGACTTATAATTTGAATATAAGGCATTAATTGATGTTATAACTTGTGAAATGTATCATATTTTAACAATTTCAATGTGCTATCATTTTTAAGATCTGCAATAAAATCACAATAGACTGACTTATAACTTATTTTAGCTGACAATAGTGTAAACGATTGAGTAATATGATTAATGTTTCTACTGGAACTTGATAATCTGTATATTTCTGCATAATTCTCAAAAAAATTCTTTACGGTAGTAGCAACGGTTATATCAATGATTATTTTGGTTTTTAATTGTGACATTCATTTGATATTACTATAAATGCATGGTATTATACCATTCATTGTTAGATGATTTCTAATATTTTTGAAATAAGTGCTAACATATTAAGATATATTTTCTGACAGAGAGGAGTATTGCAATCTCAATAATAAAAGATTCTTTTATTAGTACACATTTTTTTTAAGACGTTGACTGACAGTTATTTTTCACAATTCATTACTTTTAATTAGGCCATTAAAATATATCTTGTTCAGATCTAGAGAGGGTTTGAAATGCCTCATGTAATTCAGCAAACTTTTCTCTTAAAATCATTTTTGAACATCCACATTTGCAACCTATCTCTAAGAAACATATTGCTTTTTCATATTCAGTTGAACCATTATAATTATAATTTTTTATATATAGGTAATCCTATATATAAATTTTATTGTTTTATGTACAAATTTATACCAGTATTTACTAGTCAAATTTCAGAATTTGGGAGGTGATCTATTAACTAAGACAAACTTTCTTGTCAATTGTTAGACCAACATTGAATAAGTACTTCGTAAATATACAAATCCGTTTGGCATAACCATTTAGTATTAGTACTGTAACAAAATGCGAATAATGATATAGTGACACAACAATTACTTTTAATATTAATGTAAAACCTTTATTAGATTCAAAGTCATTTAGTACGCTTATCAAATACAAGACTGAAATGACAATATTGGACAAGCCAATTTCCATACATTTCTTTCATATTCTCTTTACAGATGATCATTTTATCATTGTCTGCAGTGACATTTTCACCACACATATCTGCCACTATTACAAATATATACAATGTTCCTTTTGGCAATTTCTTCTTAACCTAAATTCACAAAACAAATTGTAATTAGTAAAGTACTTGCACAGAGCATATGAGGGTTAAAGCCATATACCTTTTTCTTATGCGCATTAAAGTATTCAGCAGTAAGCCTCTCCGTAGTCGCATAGTGTTTACTCTCAATGGTAAGAACAATGACTCCCTTCTTGACCTCACGTCTGAATACAACCCACGAATCAGCAAATTCATCATTGCCTATACCTATGTATGCACCTTTCTCAAGATCTTTCTGTGAATCAAAATAGTGGATCAATATCTTTGGCCAATGATCAAGATGATCAATGTTTTGTATTGCATCAGGTAAATTCACATAGGTGCAAGCTGCTATGCCTTTAAGTATCAGAAATAAGTCTTTAAAACGAAGGCAGATATAGTTCAGGTTATTGAAATACCACTGAAAGAGCTAAAGTACAATGATTGCAACATCACATTTTTCATTTTGGCAGAAGTGTGACTCGTCTGTGAGCTCATTCAAAAAGTAGATGAATTTGATAATTAAATCGCCAGTTTGGATAAATTCACTAAGGTAAACCTGCAGCAGTATATATAGCATCTTAACAAGGGATCGACGTGGGCTGTATAAGCTAATTGTCCCATATTTTTCAAGCATCTCCCAAGTGTATATTGAGCTGAGCACTAAAGTCTTAGAAGTATCTTTGAACTCGCTACCCAGAAGTGCAAAAGCTATAACATATAGCATCTGATAGAAATTAAGGTCAAAAAGTGCTTCAGTATATTTTTTGTAATATTTTCTGATCAGATCGCCTATACCATTCATCCATTTAGTAATAATGCTAATGTCACTGCTATGCATACATAGATTTTTGAAGAACCTTCCCCAATTCAGTTTGCGTATAAAGGTGTCATAGTGACCAATCTCATATATCAAGAGCGATAACAATTGTATGTTGTCTCCGCAGGTTGCAAGTGTGATCTTGAGCTACTCTGGTGATGAAAATATCTGAAGATCTTTATTCTGTATCAAGTTTGATATAGCTGCCTTTTTAACAAGTGCTTGCAAAATCTGCATGTATGTCTCAGCCTTTGTTCAGCGTAGTGTAATCATCTCACACCATATATCACTTACTTCAAATATGTTCAATAGCTCTGTACGATACGTGCCATCAAATTTCAAGACTATCATACAACGACAGTTAGAACTATTAAACTTGTATACAGTTTTCATTAACAATGCTATCCTTGTATAAGGCCCTTGTTCTAGTAACAGTACATTTATTTCGCTGATATAAAACAGTATAATTAATGGTTTCAATTCTGTTGATATAGTCAACTGCAAGGAAGAAAAAGATGATGTTATTACTAGCAGTGCTGTTAGCTGAACCACATAGTCGAGCATAGCATCAAGAGTGATATCAGATAGGAGAATCCTATGAGTCTTGAGGTAAGTAACAAACTCAGCGAAGAAATCAGTATATGGTCAATTACTATTGACTGCTTTGTGTAAAATTCTTGACGCTAAAATACTCTGACTACCTGAAACATTCGCTAATGTAGTATCCCCAATAGTTCAAGATCTTGTGCTTGCAGCTGGCTACTCTGAAGATCCTAGGCAAATGCACAGTTTGTCTAAATGTGTAGCTCCTGCAATCGACTGCATACTGATATTAAACCATACGTCATTAGTGTTGTCTTGCGCCATCTAGGACCTCCTGCTCCTAATAAATGTATGTTGATTGCTTACTTACCTTGTGTTTTAAGATATTCTTTGTATACCTTTCATGCTTGCTTCAAGGTTGCTTTAAAATTATCTTTGTCATATTTCGTAAAGAACTTGTCTTCAGTCATTACTATGTCTATTGGGTCTATGTTTTAGTGAATAAGAATGGTAAAAGAAGAGTCGTGATCTGCACTCACCCAACTCAGCCCTGTTTATAGTTTTACTTACACAAATATGTGATACTTCTTCATATTAAAGCACTGAATCAACTACAGGTGCTAGATCTAGCACACTTAGCAAAATAGATCAGAAATCCTTCATGCTTTTGTCAGAAATAAAGGGTAAATGAAGACAAAATAAAAATCTCTTTTATATGCTTCTTTGCATATCATAATATGAAACAATGTTTTCAATTATATTATTGTATTCTGTTACTACATAATGCAATTCTACTTTCAAAAGTAAAGCAATTGTTTTTAACGTGCGTATTGTAATAAGTTATATAATAATGGATAACTGAATTTGAATTGCAAAACAATTGATTCATCTTTATTACTTTCTTAAACAAAGTATGTACAGTACTTTTGCATATTCACTAGAGCGATTGCATAGGAGGAAATAGTCAGATCCAAAGCCATTGATGAGTATTCCTATACTTTAGTCACGCTAGTAAAGTTTATATTACATATCATTATCATTATTATTAATACCATCATTTTTCTTCCCCTTTTCTTTATCAATCCATTCCTGTACTGCTTTGACAGTTATTTTTTGCGGATTAGTTTTCATTGGTAAAAGTTATTCAGTATAGAATTGGCAATGCCTTTTCTCCTGTGTAACTTGTGAATTTGAGTAGTCACTTTAGTAAATGAAAAGTCTGGATGCAGCTCAGATTTCGTATCAAAGAATTTTTTAAAATTTTTTCATAGATTTTTAATGTCATTTGCGTGTTTTCATTCACTGAGCAGCTTGCTTGATTTAGATTTAATTTTGATTTTATTTAATTTGACTGCTTTAATTGCTATTTTAAGCTTTTGATTTATATTTCAGAGTTGAATGTATGTTTTATAATGAAGCAAATGACCAACGACAAGTCTTATCAACAGTTCACAAACAAATTCAGTTATTTGCTTTTTTATAAAATGACTTGTTTTAGTATTGATATTGAAAAGATTTGCAGTTTTTTATAAAAGCAAAATTGAATCAGATTATGCCATTTTATAATAAATTCTTGGTTTTATCAAAATTGTGAATTCATTATTTTTTTTAACGTATATTTAATATTATGCGTTGATTTGAAAAATTGTGACATAATCACCAAATTTTGAAAAGTATCTACTGTGAGGCTATTCTTTCTATAACTTAAATTATAATATTAAGTGTAAGTCTAAGTATAAATATATATAAACATTAAATCATTACCCATACCAAATGACATGCATATTTAAGACACTAGATCATGCATTAACAAATATCATGTACATATTAATTATTAAATCGGTTATTTTCTGAATTATTAAAATATTCTAACGAATATATAAAATAATTTCATCCAACATTTATAGCTTATTTTTCTTTATCTATATAATAATAAATAATTACAATAAATATTTGCTAAAATATTAATATTTATAATCGATAAATAAACAGATTTGTCAAATACACGTAATTTTGTAACGTTTGCAACCAATAAAACTGTAAATTGCGAATAAAAAAAATTTAAAATAACTGAACTATTATAAAAAAACAATGTTTGCAACTGATTGTTCTATATAACACAAAATTATTCAGCAGGCTATACCTTCACCTCTAGTTAAACATAATTACAATTGCTTATTTTGATTTGCTAATCAAACAAGTCATTATCTCCTAAAGTTTGATTCAGCTACCCTTCTAATGATTTATCCACTTTTATTACTTTCCATACTTATCATTATTTCTAACATGATAAAAAATTGCTACTCATAAATTATGTCAGAATTGTAGAACTTGAAGCAAATTTATTGTCATTCTTACTGAACAGCCTATAAAAATTGTGGAATTATTAGCAATTATAAAGAAACAGATATTTGCTTTATGTTTTTAGCTTCCGTTTCTTTCTTGGTTTACTATGTGCTAGTATTAATGTTTATTTATTTGTTATGATTTTCCTTTCTTCTTGATAAATTTCATAAGTAATTCTTTCTTTATCTAGATACTTTTAGAGAGTTTGGGTATCATTTATTTTAAAAACATATGAGGCAATTTTTTCTTTTTATTCTTTTTTTAATATATTTTTAATGGTGCTATAATTCTTAGGTTCTATAGTGGATTTAATGTAAATTAGTTTCATATTAATATTTTTTATATAGAGATAATCCTATATATTAATCCTGTTATGGTTTATATTCATCACATTCTGGTATGATAAGTGAACATTAAAATTAACAGATCTATAAGTTGTGAATGAGCACTATTATTTCAAAATGTCATTAGTCAAATTGGTTAACTTTCAGCCATAGTAGCCTCTTATTTAAGAATGTTCACTTTGTCTGGTTTTGTTGCAGCATGCCCTATTTATAAGAAGTTATCTATAATAACTATTACTAGCTATCAAAGATAAAGAAAGAGAGCATAGTTTATAGAACAGCCAAAAAGGTAATAGCACTACGTAGTTCTATGATAGATAAAAATGCTAATGACATCTCTTCCTGATAGTAATAATTAATCATTAAGAGATATATAATAAGAAAAATTAAATTCTTCATTTTTCTGATGAAGTTATTCTGATATTTTTCTAAAGTTTCTTTGGATTTGATCTAAATTATTTTGAAGATTTTGAACTAATTGGATATCTTTATAACTTTGAAGATGATCAATATCAGCTCTTGCACAATTGTATTAGAATAGAAAACTCTTGTATTTTACTTTCAGATTTTAATATTGATACCTATAATAAGATAAATGAGAAGTTAAATGATTAATTTTATTATATAAATTGTCAATTTGAGACAAAAAAGAATTTAATAGTTGTTAAAGCCTGTGATTTTTAATATTAAGTTCTTTTATTTTTTGCTGTCTTGTTTCTTCTTCTTGATTTTAAAGGTTATATTGACAATGTGAGAAAAATTGCTTTCAAAACTTTTGCCTATATTGAAAATATAAAAGTTGAAAATTTTGCAATAGTTTTAGTAAAACTGATAGAATTTGATAAAAATCAAAAGAGATTTTAAACAAATATTTATAACAAAATATTGTAACTGTAAAAATTCTTAAGCTTATGAGAATTTTCTTTTCTGCAAAAATGTAAACAAATAGTTATTATCACTTGTAATTATGTAATTGATTAACAAAATTTGTAATTTTATAAAACAAATTAGAATAATTTAGAATTTTTATAGGAACAAAAATCTTAAAAAGGAAGTAATGTAACAGGATTATTATAACCTAATTGATTTATATACTGCATTATAAGTAGTTATATAAGTAACATAGTTATATAATACAAGAAAGTGTAGATCAAAATATCAAACATATCAAATATATTTAACATATCTGATATAGTTGATATATTTGATATATTTGATATATCAGATATATCTAACATATATGATATATTAGATTTATATTAAAAAGTATATAAAGAAGACTAAATTTTTAACAAGAAAGTAATTATCAATTGCTAAATGCAATTTGATCAGTTTAGTGATAACTATGTATAACCCCTTTTTAATAAAGTAATACAAGGCTATTCTTTTCTATTTATGATTAATTTTTCTTTTGTATTTTTTATTTTAGTATTTTTAGCTTTTAGTTTATTTATTTATCAATAAATCTTTATTTGATTTATCTGAGATATTTGTGATACTTTGTATTAATAACATTTTACATTTATTTTTAGCTTAACATATAGAAATATACTCAATAGTATATTGAATATATAGGTAATATATAGTGGATAAATCATACATTCATTATAGGTTTGAATATATTTTCTAATATATAACAGAACTTAATCAACTGAGATATAAATATACTCTAAACAATATATAAAAGAACTTTTAACTTACTAAGACAACTATTAGATTATCACATAAATTTTAAAAGAATTATCACTTGAACATTCCATTTAACAGTCGCAATTTGATAGGATTACACATTAACAATATTAAGATTTATTATTAATCATCTAATATAACTTTATATTTACAACCTTTGAATCAAGAAATTATTAATTCTTTTAAGGTAAATATTATAAATTTATATTTAAAATTATATTTTAGTATTTTTATTAATTTTTTTATTAAACTAAGCTAAATATAGAAAATTATTAATAGAAAATAAAATTGAAGAGTATGATATTTCATAACAAATTTTGAAAAAAAAAACTCTTTCTCCCTTTTTGCAAAATGCCCAAAAAAACAGAAAGAAAGAATACCAACCGCGGCCGCTCGGCTTC